TCATGAAATTGTAAGTTTAAAAATGAGTTTATGAAAATATTATTAAAATACATATTAAACATACAAATAAATATAAAATCAACAAGATATACATTAAAAGTAATAGGTTTTTTATACAGATTTCTCAATTTTCATTGCGAATAGTTCATGCACCCCTTAGATATTCTGAGGAATCGGATTTTTCCAATTTGGTTTCAAATTTCTTGATAAAATACGTTATATTTATTACATAATTCTGTACCACTAATTAATAATTAAATTCGTGACAAATATAATATTTAAAAAAGGACTTAAATTATTCTTATTTTTAGTCTATCACATCTATTGCGACTGTTTTAGTTATAATAATACAAGCACAAACAAATAAATAACAAGTTTTATCATATTATGACAAAGCTCATAAAAAATAATTTAATGATAATATATGTACAACATAATTTAATTTATAAAATGCGTTATATGTACAATATCTTTTAGATTTGATTTAATATCCCTATATAACATTTGAAAGAGAAAATTAATTAGTGTTTCATCAAAACAAGATTTTTTTTGTTCCTGGCTCAGACATGTCCCGGAAATCTCACTAGTTGATTTGGCAACCCTACACGCGACGTAGTCAAAGAGCCACAAGAGCCCTGCTCAAAAAATCAAGAAATTTCAAGAAATTCAAGATTCTTGAATTCAAGACAAGAAATACAATGTCAAGAAATGGTCAAGACAAGAAAAATGAAATTTCTTACCTTGAAAATCAAAACAAGACAAAAAATGCTCTTCAAGATAAGAATTCTTGTCTTGATGAAACATTAATCGTACCATCAAAAGATAAGACTTATAACTGACAATAATAAAACTAATAAATAAATAATTGATATCAATATAAATGTCAATTGCAAAAATATATTTAATTCAATTTTATTGTGATGTCATTTGTTTTTTCATTATTGTTATTTAATAATTATAGAATATTTAATTTTCTTCAATAAATTATTAAAATTAGGTATTAGTTAATGATTTCTTTTATTAATCTTATACTTTTAATTGTTTTCGTTCATAAATTCAATACTTTCAAAGGAAACGACAAAAAATACCTATATAGGTACGATTTAGGCGACCGACCTAAATCGTACCTTTTGCAGCATGTTACAAAAAATTTATAATAAATTAATTTGTTATTAGTGGAAAGTTAAACATGTAATAATAAGCGTCCAAAACCTCAAGCTACAATTTCTAATGTCCATTTGCATACAAAACAATGCCAAATGGAAAATATAATAAAAAATAGGTTAAGTGGTCCGCATTCGGCAACTCTCTCTCCTAATAAAATTCGTATAATAAAGTTCATAAAATATATTATACTATTTTAGTATCTTTATATTACAGATGGGAATGGGAGAGAGTAAGAAAGATAAAAAAGAATTAATAAACTTTTATTACTATTAAATATAATAATTAATAACATCTCGTGCAAAAAACATAAAGTATACTTTTTATCATGCTTTTATGTTGATTATTATTTATTTATGATCCATCATTACGAACATTAATCATTATATACGTATATATACTTTTTTTATAAATATTAAGGAGAAGCAATTCACACATGATTGTAATATATTTATAACGTTTGTACATTAATAATTGTTATTGTAAAATATGTATGTTAAAAGCGAAATATAAAAGTAAAAAACAACACTGCCACAATATTCCTATTTTTTGTATACTAATGTATAGATATATGAGTACAAATAAAAGTATACCCATCTTCCATTTATAATTCAATAAATAATAAAGCATAAATTGTGGTAAGTTAATTGCTTTAATATTCCTAAGTGCCTTACCATAAAGGCAGTGCCTGCTCATAAATTGCGCCTATTATCGTTACCATTCGATTCAATTTATACAACCAACTGATCAACAAAAGTACAGTTTGAAATAAAAACTATATGTGCAATGACAAAAAGTATTCGTATGATTTTAATGCCATTTTTAATGATCAATTATGTATTTGGTTTAAGAATTGCCATATTTAATCATTCAAGATTATGGTTTAGTGCTGTATATATACTGCTGATTTGGTCAGTTTACTGCTTCCTCGTGTTATCTACATTTACTTCTTTTTATATGTATTTTATTTTTGCCGACAATATTTGTTATTGTCTAGAAATCTTTACAACGTTATTGTCAATCATGTTTGGAATATATCATGACAAGGTAACGAAATATTATAATATTTCTAACAATATTAATAAAAACAATTGTTATAATATACAAAATTATTAGAAATAAACATAATCTTGTTTATTTACACAATTAAATAGATAAAATACGTATATAAATTATAATTCATAATACATATTAAATTTTATATTTATTCAATAATAAAAACTGTGGTAAATATTTCCCGATTATTGATTTTAATATAAACTTAATAATAAATTTAATAATAACGGTACCTTATCAAAGTCATGATCCTGAGTGACCTTTAAATATTTTGGCCGTCGACCATAATTAACAATAAATTATTATAAGCTTCATAAACAGTACGTGATTTTTGGACAAATTAAATATTAACACAGAGTTGTCAACTTAAACTTTACAATCATGTAAATTTCTTTTGTCCTATAAGCAGGGGGAAGGGAGGAGTAGACGTCACTTTGCTCGGAAAATCGAAACCCCTATGAAACCTTGCTCCGCGTAGAAAGTTGTAAATGTTGCTTTGTTTTTAGAATCTTGCCCTGCATGTTAAATGCATGCGTGGATGCGATAGATTCCGTCCTTTTTCTTTCTAAAGGGCTCAACTATCAAAAAACCGACAGATTTAGTTTGCACCATGCTTTGCATGGAAAGTTATAACCTATGTAGAACATCGCTTCATACAACTTTCCACGCGAGATTCAATTCAAATCTGTGTCTAATTTTTTAGTAATCGAGCTCTCCTCTTTCGTAGAAAGAGTCAGGTTCCATTATTTCTACGTACATACTTTTTACGCAAAGCAGAATTATACGTGAGTTTCGACTTTCCGCACAAAGCGTGGTCCATCTCATCCTGCTCTCTGCATTGCAAAACGAAATCTATGATTGTACAGCTTCGTTCAGGTCTACGAATTCACTTAAATATTTAAATATGTTAATAATGTGATATTTGTACTAAATAAAATTTAAACTATATAAAGTTAGATATATTCTTATACATATTGTAAATTCGTTTGTTAATAACTTTTTTAACAAACAATGACCGAGGACTAAAACTGACAGACTTTCCGGGCTTCTCTGCCGAAGGTCCCTCAGAATCATGATGTCGATAACATACGTCATGGTCAGGGTGAAGGTGGTTCCCCTATCCAAAATATTTACTATTTATAATATATACATATATTTGTCTATTTTACATTCCTTTTTTGTGACAGAAATTCCAAAATTGTTTGAAGAAATTTGACATTGTCGACAGCACCTTGCTTAAGCTAGGAACAATAACAAATTATGACAATCTACGCAAAAAAGCAGTATTATATGCCTTAGGATGGATTTTCATAGTTACATTAATAACATACTATTCAGCTTCATTACTGAAAGATAAATATGACGATAATATTACGACAATTATGTTATTCGTCTTTCTACGAGACTATTGTTTTCATATTAATCTTATGGGTGATTTGACTAATGCAAGTGTCCTCCAGTTAGTATTTCAATTTTTTTATATATACTTATCATTATATATTTATCTTATATATATAGGTATTTATGTAAATAAATAAAACTAAATCGTAATGCATAAATATTTCACAATTCCTGAAAGTTTTAAAAGTGCTGTTAAAATTAAACTATTGTTTGCAATTAATTTCATTTCCCATCTGTCTTTTTACATTTAGATACGCTGAATTAAAATTTGATCAAATTAATGAACATCTTCGGAATTTAATAAAAAATCAAAAATACAAAATAATACAAGCTTGGGGAAATCCTCGGATATATCCTTACCAACGCACATTTTCGAAACCACTAAGTAATAAATGTATGACGTGGATCATTATGTAAGATATTTTATGTCAATTTTATTAATAGTGGTAACATCATGGAGAAAAATTAACTTTCATAAGTAACAGTATACTTGAAATAAAACTTAATATTTATGTTTGCATTATGTTCAGACATCTTTACTTAGAGTTACGCAAAATATCCTGTGATATAAACTCAATATTTGGAACCCAAACGACTATCAAAATGGCATGCTATTTTATTTGGATAGTAATTGACTTACACGAACTTTTCAATACAATACTTATCAACAATTATGTAAAATCTAAAATAATGGCTATCACCTTGTGCTTGATCTACGTATTACATCACATTTTCAAATTCCTGCTTATTAATTATATGTGCGAAACAGTCAGTACTAAGGTAGATTAAATTATACTAAATTTCAGAAAGTATTTGCAAATTTATTTATAATAAATAAATCAATATAAACATTATTATTGATATCTTAATTTAAAATTAAATTAGAAGTTTCATTAATACATTCTTTAATTACATTAAATATGTTACAATTTCAGGCAAACGCAATAGCAGATTTATTAAATAAATTATCATATGTCACTTGTGATGTTGAAATTCGTGAAATTGTAAGTTTAAAAATGAGTTCGTTAAAATATTATTAAGATACATATTAAACGTACAAGTAAATTTAAAATCAACTAGATATACCTATTAAAAGTAATACGTTTTTTATACAGATTTCACTATTTTCATTGCGAACAGTTTATGCGCCCGTTAGATTCTGTGGAATCGGATTTTTTCAATTTGGTTTCAAATTTCTTTATAAGGTATGTCATATTTATTACATATTTCTGTAGTATAAATAATCAAATTCGTGACAAATGTTTAAAAAAGAATACTTAAAGATTGTCTTTATTTTTAGTTTACCACATCGATTGCGACAGTTTTAATTATAATAATACAAGCACAAGCAAATAAATAACAATTTTTATCAAATTAAGGCAAAGTTCACAAATAGTAAAATAGTAAATAGTAAAACAAATATTAAATGGAATAAACGTTAAACAGTTTATTATGTTTAGTAGGTATGTTTAAAAAATGAAGTCTTTAATTAATATAACGTTATTTTATTGTTTTATTGCGAGTTTAGAATTGAATTGCATATTATTGAAAGTTCATAAGAACAGACAATAAGATATAAAAAAGTATATTAATAAATAGGGGAACCTGGGGTATAATGGTTATAGTTAGATTTTTTCAAGTTTTAAACATATTAAAAATAAATAAATCAACTTTGTTATATATTAAAATATTTTTTGAAGTATTTACTATAAGGAAAACTTAAGTTTTACTGCAAAAGTATAGATTAACAGGACGAAATTATTGTTTTGTGAGAGTGTGTCGTAACCTCATTATGTCATTTATGCAGGGCATAATGGGGTACCACAGAAAACTTGTCTATTTTTTAAAAATTAATATTGAACATTGCTTAAAAGTGACTTAGAACATATAATATAAGTAAAAATACATTGTTGCACTTTTAATTTTTAATTTTTTATTAATAATTCTATATGTGATGCTGAGTGATACATTATACAAGGTATACTGTTATTATATTAAACATAAATAAAAATGTTTAAGAAGATAACACAAATAAATAAATGGGTAAATTTATTATTTAATAAATAAATGGGTAAATTTTTTTAATTACTTTTTTGGGAACTCTCTTGTTATCTTTTAAGTCGCGAATTTTATATAAACAAAAATATCATAAACATAAAATAAATATAAAACATATAAAAATATTACGAACAATATTTACATTTCTATCATATTTGTTTAGTATTATGTCTAAATGTATTTGTTTTAAAGAAATAATTTATTCTTCAATTCAATTTCGATAAATAATGATACATAAGTATTAGACTGTTTACTTTAATATCCATAAGTGCCTGATTAAAATTACAAAGATGCGCTATCTTTACCTTTCGATATAACTTATGCAACCAACTATAGTCAATAAAAAGACAGTTTGAAATAGAAATCGTGTGAGCAATGATCATGGGTATTCGAACAATTGTAAAGCCATTTTTAATGATCAGTTACATGTTAGGTTTAAAAATTAACAATTCATCTAATTATTCAAGACTATGGTTTAACGTTCTATATATGATACTAGTATGGTCAATTTACTATTTCCTCTCAACATCTACATTATCATCTTTTAATAAGTTTATCCCTATCGAGCAGTACATTTTCTATCGACTAGAAACTATCGTGACTTTATTGTCAATCATATTTGGTGTATATCACGATAAGGTAAGGAGATATTAATACCATATATGTAGTTATAAGAAAATTAATATTGTAAATTGTAATATATACAGTTATTAATAATTAGCAATTACAAATACATATATGCAATTACAACAGATAAAAAATATATAAAGCTTAATAATTAACAGGTTATTAAAAGTTATATACACATCTATTCATTCTCTCTCTCTCTCTCTCTCTCTCTCTCCCCCCCTTTTTTCTCTCTCTTTCTCTCCTCTCTCTTACTAATAAAAACTGTTGTAAACACAAAATTCCGCACATATTAACATAGTGCATATGATAAATTTCTTTTTCCTAAATATCTAATAAAATAATTAATTCAAATTATATAAAAAATTTGTATAAAAGAATAATAGAATTAAAAACCTTTATATTTTCTTGAATTATAAAATATATGTTGTATCAAATATATATATGCTTAATAATATTACCATATTTTCGGAGAAGTAATAATTATTTCATATTTTATCTTTCTGATAGAAATTCCAAAACTGTCTGAAGAAGCTCGATATTGTCGACAACACTTTGGTTAAATTAGGAATTGCAGACTATAACAAACTGCACAAAAAAACAATATGGTTTGTCTTAGGATGGTTTGTAATGGTTATATTAACAGTTTGCAGTACAGCATTATACGTGAAAGATAGATATAACCATAATTATGCAACAACCACGTTTTATATCTTTATTCGAAACTATTGCTTTCATATTAATTTTGTCGATGATTTGACTACTGCAAGTATTCTCGAGTTGGTATATCTTTTTTTTTACATATACTATTATGTCCTTAGCTTAAGTGTAGTTATTTCTGAATAACAATAAAACTAAATTACAATAAAATTATAATTATTAAAGTATTTTTAAAAATTTCGATACAGTATAGCAGCTATTTGCAATTAAATAACGATTCATTTTATTTATATTTAGATACACAGGATTCAAATTTGATCAAGTTAATAAACATCTTCAAAACTTAATGAAAAATAATAAACATGAAATAAAACGAGCTTGGGAAAATTCCATGATAAATTCTCATCAAAGATTTTCGAAATCACTAAGCAACAAGTGCATAACGTGGATCGTTATGTAAGACGTTTTATATTAATTATATTGCAGTATCATAAAATGTCAAAATCATAAAAAAAATAATATTTATAATTAGTATATATATGGAATATATATAAAACTTCATATTTATATATGCACATACAGACATCTACACTTAGAATTACGCAAAATATCCTATGAAATGAATTCAGTGTTCGGAATACAAATGACTATTAAAATGATATGCTATTTTGGTTGGATAGTACTTGATTTACGTAGAATTCTCTGCGTAATCTTTATCGACAATTACATGATATCTAAAATTATACCTATCTCCGTTAACTTAATCTGGCTTTGTCACAATGTTTTTAAATTTGTGCTCATTAATTATGTGTGCGAAACAGTTACCACCAAGGTATTTTTTATATTTAATTTTTAAAGTCAATTTAAAATTTAAATTAAATAATGCTTAATTTAGTAATATCTAATATATAAAATAACATATAGACCGTCATATAAAATCTAATTTTTTTATTATATTAGATTGTATATTTTAAATTATATTTTGGTTTTAGTTTTATCAATTAATTATATTTGACATATTATAATTTTAGGCAAATAATACATCAGAATTATTAAGTAAATTGTCATATTCCACTTATAATGTAGAAATTCGTGAAATCGTAAGTTTTAAAATAAATTCGTTGAAATATTAAAATAAATATTACATAATATTTAAATAAATATAAAAAATCCATAAAAAATATATATTATAAATTAATAATATAACTGTATTAAAAATTAATAATATAACTGTATTAATACATACAGATTTCACACTTTTTATTACAAATGATTTATGCACCACTTAAATTTTGTGGAATTGGATTTTTCCAGTTTGGCTTCAAATTTCTTCACAAGGTACGTTATACTTATTATATAATTGCGTACTACAATCAAATTCATGACGTATATTTAAAAAAGAACTTATACACTGTATTTATTTTTAGTTCATCATATCTATTGTGACCGTTTTAGTTATAATCTTACAAGCACAAGCAAATAATATAACATAAGTAAACATTTTTATCAGATTATAGCAGATTTCATAACAGATAATTTAATCTATAATATAATGTAATATTTAATGATAATATATAATGTAATTTATCAAATGCTTTATAAGGTATTTTCTTTGATTTAATATATCTCTACATAAGTAGGTGAAAAAGAAAATTAATAACTGAAAAATAATTGATAGATACTTAGATAATATATGCGATGTTATGCAATAAGAAGATAAATAATAAATATTTAACATGTTATATCGATTGTCTTTGCAAGATTCTTTTCATTATCAAAAGAATCATTTTTTACATAAAATTGTTTTAATATTCTCTAGATATTGCAACAGTTTTAGCTGCAGCAATACAAGCGAGTGAAAATAAGTAAACATATATTGTTATTAAATTATAATAGCTCATAAAATGTAGTTAGTAATAAATGTATAACGCACAGTTTATAAAACGCATAGTTTCTAACATTAATTTTATATGCTGTACAAAGTAAACAATGAGTATTCTTTATTATGTTTTTATATTGATTTCATATTTCTACAATTTTGTTCATATAAAAAGAATTATTCTTTTTATACAGTTTTTATATAATTAATTAAATAATATAATTTTTATTATAAGAAAAAACAATTTTTTTTTATTACGTTATTTATGGTATTTGTATATTATATTTGTTACAGCTGTAATTGTGATTAAAATATATCTATGCTATTTGAAAATATTTACGATGTATTGTTATGTAATAAACGCCCCCCCCCCATTAAAAAAAAGAGAAAACGAAAATGTCAAGAACTATATTCGTATTATGTGAACATATTTGTTCATACGTGAAGAAGTACTCTATCATCTGCTTTAATCGTGTTGCATAAATTTTAGTAGATTGATTACCTAATATTCATAAGTACCTTAATAGAAATTACGAAGATCACATAGCTTTACTGTTGCATATATGAAGTCAGTAAAAACGAACAGTTTGAAATAGTAACAGTGTGCACAATGAGTCGAAATATTCGAACAACTTTAATGCCACTCCTGATGATTAGTTACATTTTTAGTTTAAGACTCACCAATCTACCTCTAGGTCACGCGAAACTGTGGTTTAGTCTCATATATATGCTGACAGTTTGGACAATTTATTATTTTCTTTTAATGTCAGTATTAATACCTGATCTCAAATTTTATACCAGTGCCGAGTATCACATTTGCTATTTGCTGGAATTGTTTACAACTTTGTTATCGATCGTATTTGGGATATATCATAATGAGGTAAATAGATATAATATTTTCAGTTATCAGCAATAATTATGAGTGCATATCTGCATAGCTACAATATTCAAAATAATTATAAATTATTTAATTCGACATTTAACGATGTATGAAGACAAAGATTATCCGCAAACTGCCTAGATTCTTTTTAATGTATCTATTGTTATTTCATATATCATCATAGTAAAAAGAAATTACATTAAAAAGATTCTTATTGTTTTAAGTTACATTAAATCATAAAGTCTTTCTATGCATATTACTTTGCATTTTTTACATCAAATTTTTTTTACATATATTACTAATACAATTATATATTAATATTATATTATTTTATATATACAGGTATAAATTAATCATACAATAATGTGTAAAAATGCAATAAAAGTATTATTAGATGTATAAGCTGCAATAATGTTGTCAAATTTTCAGATAAATAATAATATTATTCGTTTATTTCGTCTATTCATCTACTTGCATCTTCCCGACAGAAATTTAAAAACTGCTTGAAAAAGCTCGATATTATCGACAATACACTGCTTAAACTTGGAGTAGTGACAAATTATGACAAACTACATGCAAAAACACTATGGCTCGTCTTAGGATGGTCCATGATAGTTATATTAATGAATTGCAGCTCAGCATTATTCCTAAAAGTTGAACACAATTGTGACTTTGTAACAGCTATGCTCTTTGTCTTTTTACTAAACTACTCTTTTCACATTAACGTTGTCGATGATTTGACTAATGCAAGTATTCTTGGGTTAGTATCTTTTTACATATACGGTCATAATATACTTTATAATACAATTATATGTGTAATAAAACTAAATTGTCATTCATAAATGAAGAGCAGAATTCCAAAATGCATTTTATCCAAAATTTCATTTTTTTTAGTTAGAGGTGGCGTAGTGTTCAGTGTTGAAAGACTCATATTATAAGCTATTCTGAGATGTTCAGAAAGAATTTTTTTATCGTTAGTTTATATGCTGAAAAAACATAGACATTTCGAAGTGCATTATGTTTTTTAACTAGAGACAAACAAAATGCATTTGTTTAACATTTTTAGCGATTGTTTAGCAATTTTGTTTAATATTTCACATCCTACTGATTGGCATATTATTGTTTTCTGTAAAGTGCGTAATTTTCTTAGGTGCGGAATTTCTTTCTCATTTTCTGAAAATTACAAATTTTGGACAAAACGCATTTTGAAAGTCTGCTCTTCAAATATCTCACAGTGAAACGTGTTTTTAAAATTTTCGATACAATACACCTGCTATTTGTAAATAACAATTTTATATTCAATGACGTTTTATATTAAGATACATAGGATTGAAGTTTGATCAAGTCAATGAACTCATTCAGAATTTAACGAAAAATAATAAACATACAATAAAATCAGCTTGGGAAAATATGATATATTCCCATCAACGAAGATTTTTGGAGACTCCAAGAAATGACTGCATCATATGGATAGTTTTGTAAGACAATTTTCTTAATTTAAATAAGTTCTATTAATTACAGCAATTTTATCTTATGTAATTTGGTATTACAGACATCTTCATTTAGAGTTACGCAAAATATCCCGAGAGGTGGACTCAATATTTGGAACACAAATGACTTTCAAAATGGCATGTTATTTTAATTGGATAGTGATTGACTTACGTATAATTTTCTCCGCAATACTTACTGATAATTACGTAAAATCTAATAACATAGTGTGTGCAGTCCTATATTTATTCTTGCTTTTTCATAACGTTAGCAAATTTCTACTCATTAATTATGTGTGCGAAACAGTCAGTACCAAGGTATTCATTTTAACTTAAACTTTTTAAATGTTAATTTAAAATTTATTTTTAACAAAAACTACTATACCTTTAATTTCCTAAATTAGAAGCAACTTTAATTTTATTCAACATATTCCAATTTTAGGCTACTACAACAGGATATTTATTAAATAAATTATCATATTCTATTTTTGACGTTGAAGTCCATGAAATCGTAAGTCTTAAAATAAGTTAAATAAATTTTATTAAAAAAAATTGAATGTTAAAATTAGTATATAAACACTAACAAAATATGCATTAATAGTAATGTATTGTAATAATACAGATGTCACAATTTTCATTACAAATGACTTATGAGCCTCTTAGATTCTATGGAATTGGATTTTTCCAATTTGGCTTCAAATTTCTTTACAGGGTACGTTATATTTATTATCTAATTGCATACTAGAAATAATAAGTCATGATATAATATTAAAGATGAAAACTTATATATGCTATCTTTATTTTTAGTTTATCATGTCTATTGCGACCGTTTTAGTTATTGTAATACAAGCGCACGTAAATAAGTAATTATTTTTAACAAAACATAACAGAATTCATAAAAAATATTTTTAATAATAAGCAATTTATATGGTCTAATTTATAAAACATGTTACACGATATTTTTTGAATTTGATATCCCAATATTGAAATTATGAGAAAAAATTAATAATTGAAAAAGATTAATTACCATAACACCTGCTTACAAAATATTTTTCTATATAATTGATTTCTATATACCTTTCTACAATTCTTTCGTTTTTAATAGAACCATTCCTTATATATAATTTTTTTTATATATTAACCTAAATAAAATAATATGACTTTTACTGAAACAAAAACAGCACTTTAATATTTAATTATGATATTTATATATATGTAATCTATTATAATTATATATATAGTAATAATATAATAATAATTATAATTGTGACTAAAAATCTATCATATGATATTTAATAATATTTTAAAATCCTACTAGAGCACTGCAAATATCCAAATAAAGAAATAAACAACATTAAAAATATTTTTTTGTATTTTTATTAAAAAGATGTATTTATTTTATGTAAGATAGACAAGTACAGTACTTCACATTCTATTTCGTTCGATTACGTCACGTAAATTTTAATAATTGATTACTTTAATATCCATAAGGTGCCTTAATAAAAATTAAAAAGATTTATCATTACCATGCTACTATATACAATTATCTAGTCAGAATTGCAGTTGGATGGAAAAATAACCGTGCAATGACTAAAAGTATTCAAACAATTTTAACATCACTTCTAATAATATAATCAGTTATATATTTAGTTTAAGAATTGCTAATTTATATAGAAATTACTTAAAATTGTAGTTCAGTCTTTTATATATATTACTCATTTGATCGATTTATTATATAATCTTTTGACATCAGCACTTTTGACATTAATATCTTTTTTTAATAAATGATCGAAAATTCCATCGAGTGCTATTCCACACCACATGTGCTATTCGCTGGAATTGTTTACCTTACTGACAATCGTGTTTGGTATATCATGATATGGTAAGAAGGTAATAATATCATGATAAGGTAAGTAGATGTATGATTATTAATAATATATACAATTACTAAATCATTTCAAATATATCCAAATGTATTCTGGTTCTCTGAAGAAACTATAAAGTCTTTTTATTTAAATTTTTTTTTTTTTACTTTATATACACACATATATATTTAATATTAAAAATATATATAATATTAAAAACTTAAATGTGAATTTTATGATAAAATGTTCAGTGATTACCAATAAAATATGTTATCTAAACTATATTTATTATTTAAAATATATCGGTTATCATGTATTTACGTTATTAATTTATAGTTTTCTATAAGAAATGTGTATACGAAATTAATATTAAATATTCTATTTCTATATTAAATATTTTTCTTTGTTTTTCTTGTAATTATTTTCTGCATAAAAACATTTTTGTATATTTTATCGAAAGCTATAAATTTCTATCATTGTCTTAAAGTGCAACATGTTAAGAGGGTTATTTTCATATATTTATTTCATTAAAATATTTTCATGTACGCCAATTTTATCATCACGTTGCCGGCAGTGATTAAAATAGACATCATTATGCATCTCAAAATTACATTTGTTATTTTATAATTTTTTTTAAACTCACATAATAATACTATACAGTAGTAAGAGTAAAAAAATAAAAAAATCACAAAAAAGCAACCACCAAACATTATCACCAAAAATTACATCGATATTTATATTATAAATATATTTGCTTCGTGTGAAAATACAAATTTATCCAATTCTGTTTCGAAGATAGCTTGCTATATGGAAAATTCAGCATATCGATTATTTCATCACATATAAGTATAGTGATTGTAATTATGAAGATCCATTAGTCTGCCAAGTTGTCTGCAAAGTGCAGTTCATAATTGTGAAGACATACGCTATGACGAACAGCATTCAAGAAATTTTGTCGCCATTACTAATTATCAGTTATGTGTGTGGTTTAAGAGTTAAATTTCCTGTAGGTGATCAAAAACAATGGTACAATTTTTTGTACCTATTGCTATTATGGGCGCTTTACTACTTTATTATGATATATTCAATATCTTATACAGCTTATTATTCTACTGAATATCATATTTGCATTGGAATACATATTTTTACGACGATAATATCATTTGGTATTGGAATATATTACGATAAGGTAAGAAATATAGCATGAAAAGTATTTATCTGAATACACAGACAAAAAATGTGATTTCTTTTTACCGGAACGAGACAAGTAATTTCCTGTAATTTTTATGTGGATACTGAATATGAATCCGGTTTCCAAATTGCTCAATCAAATCACAATTTTAAGAAATTTGCAATTAAAGTTGTAAAAACAGCTATTTTTAACTTTGTCATTGTAATAACGATATGTGATGTGCTAAAGAAGTTTTATTGTAATCAAAATGAGATATGTTCTTAGAACTTTTAGGGCCGATTGCACCAACGTCATTTTGACTTTAAGCGAAGCTTAAAAATCCCTCTTTCTTTTTTCAAAGCCGATAAAGAGGCAGAAAGAAAGAGAGTTTTAAGCTTCATTTAAAATTAAAGTAACATTGGTGCAATCTCTCGGGTCTTAGCCCTCAAAAGAAATTTTTGTTGACTATGGTTAATGAGATATTCATGATTAAATATGAGATCTATTATGGAAAAGCTGTGAATTTTGTCATTGACGATTTACCAAACAGCTTTCAATTATGTTTAATTAAACTTAAGGATTTCTTAGGCCACTAAATACAAATCCAATATCATTGACAAATTCAAAATAGTGGATTCAATATGGAGGATACTAGAACTCGAACAATATTCAAATTGTTTCAAAAATGTATATCTTATAGAAGTCTTTTATAAATTTGAATTTGTCAATTTTGACTCATATGTAGCCTAAGAATTATCTCTGAAACCGTTTGTATTTATTTAGAGAAGCAATTTATAAAAATAATATTAATATCTCTCTCTCCCCCCCCCTCTCTCTCTTTCTCCCCCTCCTTCTCTCCCTCTTTCTCTCTCGACAAAGTCGGTAAATACAAATCATAATATTTGTTTTCTTTACTTTATCTCTGCGTCAGATATTTAGAAATTGCATTAAGAAACTCGTTATTGTGGATGACACATTGAAAAAACTTGGAAAAACAACAAACTATCACAAGTTCAAGATGAAAATAGTATGCCTCATTTTGGGATGGTCTGTGATAATTATATTATTAACTTATTTGGAGAGTTATACTATGAAAGGAAATAATACAGATATTATACCAACTATAGTTATTCCTTCTATACGCAATTATTGCATTTATATTCTTTGCATTGGCGACTTAATAATTGTCATTATTCTTGGGTTAGTTGACATTCTTATGTAAAAAAATATATATGCTTTCTAATTTATATAAAGTATATAAAGAATATACACGGTGTCCCATCACTGACGATAAATATTTTAAAGATAGATTCTTTGTAACATTTTAAGGCGAAAAATTTAATACCAAAATGTCGAGGCTGTGATAGTTTTCAAATGGAAAGAGTTTACAAAATAAAAGAATTACAAATGACAGCTAAAATTTTGCGCGCTCAGGGCAAGGTGTGAAGGTGCTTCCTCATATTTTTGACAATAATAAAATTTAATATTATCTTCACACTGACCATCTTGCCATCCCTGAGTGCGCGAAATGCTATCATTTCACTCTTCTCATTTGAAAACTGTCATAGCCTCGATATTTTTGTATTAAACTTTTCGTTTTAAAATGATATAAAAAATCTGTCTTCAAAATATTTATCGTTAGTAATGGGACACCCTCTATACACTTCTACAACTATATATACTTCCTAACTCATATATATATATATATATAGTATAGGAAGTATATTTACATATACTTCCTAATCTTTTTATTCACTAATTATTTACATATTTAGATATACAGGATTGAAGTTCGGTCAAATTAATGAATACCTTAAGAAATTATCAGAAGATAACAAATATAGAATAAAATTAACTTGGGAACATTCCATGTTACGTTCATGTAAATCCAAATTTCCAAAAATTTCAAAAAACAAATATGTAACAAAATGTAACAAAATATGGATTATAATGTAAGAGCATTTATGTAAGTTCAATTAACCACATTGCACGATAAGATAAATACTTCTACAACATAAATATCACATTTAACAGGCATCTTCATTCGGAATTACGTACAATATCTCGTGAAACAAACTGTATATTTGGGATACAAATGACTCTTCAAATGGGATGTTATTTTGCTAGCATAGCAGCGATTTTGAGACAAATTTTCTGCTTCACATATGATAAAAATTATATAATTATAAATAACGAGATGCTTTACATTACTGTACTTATAGTCTGGCTTTTTATATATGTCTTCAGATTCCTTCTCATTAATTATGTATGTGAAAGAGTTAGCACCAAGGTATATCAATACTGTATACAAAAAATTTTAAAAAGCATTTATTTAGAATTTAATTTTAATACTTTTCGAATTATAAATAATATTCAGTTTTTTAATATTAATAAATCGTAAACTATACTATTTTTTTAAATTCCAATTTTAGGCAAATGCAACAGGGAATTTCATAAATAAATTATCGTATCTTACTTACGATACTGAAATTCATGAAAACGTAAGTTTTAAAGTTGAATGTTTTTTCTATTAAAACATGAACTCTTGCTTAAATTAAAATAAAAACAAGAAATTATAAATGTGAAAATTACATGATTCATTATATTAATATTACATGTGTATTAATATAGATTTTACAGTTTTTACTACAAATAGTTCAATCACCACTTAAATTCTATGGACTTGGACTTTTCCAGTTTGGTTTTAAATTCCTTTATGGGGTACGTTGTAATAGTCATATAACATATCATACTACTTATAATTAATTTTTGAAAAGTATCTAAAAAAATTAACTCATAAATATCTAAATAGCAAATTTATTATCTTTTTTAGTTCTTCGCTTCTACTTCGACCCTATTAGTAATATATATACAAGCATTTATAAGCAATAAATATTTAAAAAATAATAACTAATGTGATATGTAAAAACAACATTTAAATCTCTAATGGGCAGCAATATTCAATATGTAATTTATAAGCTTTTTATTTTTAAATATTTAGCAGTTATACTATTGGCAGTTATTCCTAAGATTAATTTTTCATAAGTATATATTTTAGAATTAATTTTTCATTTTATCTTTTTAAATATTAGTGTTTTATCAGTTTCTCTTACATTCATTCATTCGCAATAATTTTCCTTACAAAGATAATTTTATATATTTAAAAAATATCATTTCTATGAACTGATAAAGTTAAAGATCATAACACTGAAAGAAAAGATGGGCTACTGCAGTAAATTAAATGGTTAATATGGTATAGCATTTTTAATTGGCTGCTGTAGCGATTAAAAATGCTATGCCATATTCAGCCAATCTTTTCTTTCAGTGTAGTCATTTCAATACACGCATACATATAAAGATAATATCAAAAAAATATTACACGTAACGTACGTAAAAATATACCAACCAAAAATAAAATAGAATGATATAAACAAAATTGAAATTATTTCGTTATTATGTTTTGATATTAATTACTGAAACATACATCGTATCTTATTTCATCTTATTGCACTAAGAGAAAAACGTCGAAGTATTGTGAAGCAAATGTTACTTACGAAATTTGATTGTGATGACGAAATATATATTTCTGTGAAATATATCTTATTTCTGTGAAATACTCGTATATCTCATTAATTGCAAAAAAATAAAATAGATGGCTTATTTGCTAGGAATAAAATTTTATTTCGCCCGTATTTAAATAAATATTTATTTCAGTGAAATAAATGTATTTCTCACAAATATATTTTTAGACATCTTTTTCTCAGTATATATGCATAATTTCTTACTTTTTAAGTTTCTAAGTATATATAACTTTACTGTAAAATCGTTAAAATAAAAAAAGAATAAATGTATTAGCAAAATCGATTTTTGTGTCATTAATTATTCGTTTTATTCCATAAACTTACATTTTGAACGGAAATGAGCAAAAAACTTAACAGTTGCCCTGTTTGCTTGCAATGTAAAATTTAATAGATCGATTATTCTAATATGTATAAGTGCAGCAATTACAATTATGGAGATCTGCTATTGTCGTCCATTGATCAGTAAGAAAAATATAGTTTGAAATCTACCATGGCGGAAAGCATACGAACTGTTTTATCGCCACTGTTGTTAATCAGTTCATTATGCGGTTTGAGGATTATCGAGATTTCCGCGGGATATCCAAAACTTTGGTTCAGTCTCCTCTACATTCTACTACTGTGGTCGGTTTATTGTTTTTTCGTGATAGATAAAGGGATATCTTATATACCCGATGAATCCGCCGATTATATTATTTATGTTTCATTGAATATTTTTACAGTTTTGTTATCAATTTTTCTTGGAATATATTATGATAAGGTAAGAAAATATTAAATACTAAAATATACACATAATTAATTTTTTATCTCAATTATATTATACAAATTGCGTTCATATAAAGTAATTTCGAATTTTTGATTTATTATATTTGTACAGAGAGAGAGTTTTACAATATTATTTTTTTTTAATTTTATAGAATTTTATAAAAGGTTAATGAATATAAAAATATAATATATAAATTATTAACAGATTTCTTATCGTACTATTTCCAATTAATAATGTTATTGCTTCTTTAATTTTATTTAACTCATTTTATTTAATACAATAATTATTTAAGAAAAATGTTTGAGGAATTTTTTAAATAGCAACATAATTACGTATTTGTACGTGTAGACACATCAAATTTTTAAACAGATAATGTTTACGAATTATATTCAATTTTCTGCATAAGAAATTTAGAAACTGTTTAAAGAAGCTCGATGTTGTGGATGACACATTAAGGAAACTCGGAACAACAACGGATTACCAGAAGTTAAACAAAAGAACGGTGTGGATTATCTTAGGGTGGTTTGTAATAGTTTTGTTATTGAACTATTGCGATTACATACGATGGCGAGATATGTGTGATTCTCTAACATCTACCTACGCAACGCTTATGCTAAATTATTGTCCCGATATCAATATCATTGACGACCTGATTTTTGCAAACATTCTTGGGTTGGTAAATCTTTTTATACAAATGTAGAAATTATCTCAATTATATAATATATAAAAATTATTTTTGCTATCTATATACATAAATTAATTTAATGTTTAAGAAAAATTAAGATTTTTAAGGAACTTTTACGAATTATAAGATAACCGAATTATATATGGTCTATCTAAATTTTGCGATTTAAAAAAAATTTTTTACTGAGTCTAAAATTGAAAACTAATATTAGATTTAAAAGAGACAACCTTACTAAATATTAAAATATAAGACATTTTTTAATATTTGCATGCCGTGAAGATTTTAAGAAAAAGTATTATAATATTTAAGTACACATATACTCAATGTAATGTAACTCAACCTAAGTATATGTTTGTCTCTTTTTTGTAAAAAAAATATTATAAAAATAGAAAATAAAGTGATCCATAAACTTACTTTTATAATATTATAAGTTTATTAACATACTGACGTGTTTATTGACACATAAGGTGTATTATTTTTCAAATAATTGACTTATCTATTGTCTAATTTCCATGTTTAGCAAGGGAATTAGAATTATAGTTATAAAAGGCAATTACTTATCCTATGAAATATCACAACACATTCTGCATTTTGTTTTACTGACAATCACAGAATGAACAATAAACTGATACCATCGAGTCAAACGGATAATCTGCACGATTTATAATTAGTACTATCTGTTGAATTCATCGTGTAATTATCAAATAGCGAATAAAGCATAATAAGATACTAGACCATATAAGATTCGGTTACTTTATTTGTATCTATATATTTCTGCACCGTTCGCTAAATCTCTTTTACATTAGATACTTAGGATTGAAATTTGATCAAATCAACGAACATCTTCACAAATTAACAACAGAAAATATATGTGGAATAAAACGGGCATGGGAAAGTCCTATATTACATTCACAACAACGCCAACTTCCAAGCAGTAAACGTATAACATGGATCATAATGTAAATATAAATGTAATTATTGATTATGATGGTTTTGCTTAATAAAATTTATCATGTTTACGCAGACATCTTCATTTGGAGTTACAGAAAATATCTCGCGAGATAAATTCAATATTCGAAATACAAATGACTTGGAAGATGGTATGTTATTTCGGTTTCATAGCGGAGTTTTTCCGTGAACTTTTTACTGCAATATTTATCAGATATTACGTAACTAATAAAAGAATTTTAGTCATCACTATAATTGTATTATGGCTATCTTGGTATATCTCTAGAATTGTCCTGATCAATTATATGTGCGAGAGAGTTAGTGCAAAGGTATCAATTCTCTATATGAATTCAAACTACATTTATTTTAATTTATTTTCAGTGATTTTATGACTACTAACTAATGCTAAATTTTACAATATTGCAAATAATAATTCCAATTTTAGGCAAATGCGACAGGTAATGTTATATGTAAAATATTATATTTCTCTTGCGATGTGGAAATACGTGAAAATGTAAGTTTCAATATATAATATTAAAAGATGTTACTGTCTAATTAAATTTTAATTTAAGTTTCAACACAAATTAAAAAGCAACAATTAAATTGTCTATATTCTTAATGCAGACCTTACAATTTTTATTGCAAGTAAGACAAGCGCCACTGAAGTTTTGCGGGCTTAGACTTTTCCAATTTGGATATACATTCCTTTACAGGGTGTGTTATTAATTATTTATTATTCACAAATAGCTACATACTAATCATCAATATCAATTTTAATTTCTTTTTTCTAGTACTCCGAATCTATTCTGACACTTGGAATTATATTAATACAAATAGATAGATTCAAGCATGCATGAAAAAATTATAGCTAAATACGATATACATATAAAGAATTGTTTAGTAGGTATTGATTTAACATTCAGTACATAACATACCCTTTTTAGACAATATTTGATATTTTTAAATAACATTTATATATTCTTGCTGAGAAATTAATATTCTTTTACAGAAACTGCAAAATATAAAATCTTTCATCTTATTTTTACGTCTTATTTCATCTTTTTTATTATATATATTCTTTATTATTCTTTATTGCAATGGTTATTTTCTTCATATGTTTTATAATATGCATAAAAAATATAAATTGTTATTACAAAATAATGATGTCAATAATAAAGAAAGATAACTCTATTTGTCTCATGTACATTGCATGAATTATTACCTGAGATAATTTAATTCTAATTGGATGTTGAATCTAACAAAAGAAATAAACAGATGTAATTAATAATTTAATTAATGAATTGCACATAACCGGATAAGCTCATTAATGTCAGCATTTATGAGTATAAGTTCATTGTATGATAAATATTATTATGCTTATTTATATCTCTCTCTCAAAGCACATTGTTAGAGAACATCATTAACTCGCCATTAAACTCAATCCGAATGTTACATAATAATAATTATCTGAACATTGCATCAATTCATATAATGTCGTGAAATTTTCATAAATTTTGGTTATAAATTCGCTCCAAATAATACTACAAATCAAATTAACATAAAAATATAATAATATCAGTATAAAATTCTACAACAAAATTTTTCTAAAACCATATAATAAAAATTAAATTTTATCTAAATATTTAATACTATTATGAATAATAAAAAGCGTAGGAAACCTCATCATGTGCGCGTTGTATCGAGAATTGATAACAAACCTCCACATTTCAATGCATCGGTTTATTTGAAAGCTCATGATTTAAAACAAGATGTTGTACGAGTTAAACAAATAGATCGAGAAAATATAAAACTATTGAAGAAGATAAACATAATTCATCGATTAGGGGTTAGTATTGTCATATCTTACTTTAAACTTAATATAATCTTACATATATTGTATACTTATATTAATAAAAAAAAATTAATGATGCACATTTTTTATTTATACTTCTTAATATTATACCAAATTGTTCAATTTCATTTAGTTTTAGGCAATATTAATCTAAATGAAATAAACACAAATAAAATATGACAATATTAATCGTTTATTTCATTTTTAGGGGCCTGTAGATTGCTGGGCGCCGGATTTCAAATATAAATCAAAATTTGAGGATCAAGAGCGTAGAAACAATATAATTATGCGCAAAAATAAAATTATGCTGAAGAAAATCTGTCAAGCAGAAAGTCAATATCCCTCCCGTGCCTTTGTGAAAAATTGGAAGAGAATGCATGAAGCAGTAGAGCACCGTGCAAGGTTATCTAATTAATAACATTCAGAAATAAAATTTTGTAGTAACTTTAGTTTACACTTTTACATTTTGCAATGAAATTTCTATACATCTTTCTATATTATGCAGATACATTTCAATAATTAAAAGATTGTCTACTGTGTTAGATATACAAAAACAATTAGCTGAGAAAAGTCAAACGAGATGTTTCTTTGATATTGGACTTAAAGAAGAAAATCAGAAATTAGGACGTATAGTATTTGAACTCTATGACAGTATTGCACCACGTACATGTGAGAACTTTGCAGCTTTCTGTCGCGGAGTGAATGGATTATCATACAAGTGCATAAATTATGTTATATTGTACAAATATTATATGAAAAAGAAATTAATTAAAGATATATAATAGTCATGCTTGAGATTGACTCAAAATTCAAATTTATCCTAAATTTTTTAAAAAATATGTTATTAAGTCTAAGATCTTTGGAAACATTTCATATAAAAATTCTAATTTACACAGATACACTCCATTTCATCGTATTGTCTCTGGTTACTGGTGTCAAGGAGGAGATGTTACAAAGTTTAACGGTACTGGCGGTACTTCCATATATGGTGACTCATTTGACAAGGAAAGCTCTAATCTACGTCATACAGGGCCCGGCATCTTATCTACTTACGACAATGATGACGGCAAAACAGACTCCAAATTTAATCTTACATTTAAATATTTGAGAACTGTAAATGGGAATAAAATTGTTTTCGGCCGAGTAATAGATGGAATGAACAACATATATAAGGTAATTTAAACTTTACTTAAATAACATTTCTTGTACAGTAATGCCATCACATCCACAAGCACTATTTATTTAATTATGTAGACCTACTTACTCTAACGGAAAAGAAATGAATTTTCTTATTATTTTTTTAATATAAATGAAAAAAACTTTGTATCACGAATAAATAGTATTCTATAGAAAATTTTTTACACTACAATTAAATATATATTATTACAAAATTTGTTTTCATTTTGCGCTTCAATGTTCAATTTTAACGAAATTTAAGTTTGATTATCTGCTATGCATATTAAATTTGGAAAGTATGTAAACGATTCTAAAATTAATATACAATAATTTCATAAATTAAATTAATCAATTATGTTTTTCCTGTTAAATAAAAAAAGATTGAATTTTAGCGTATTCTGCTTCATAAAAATCCGTACAAATCTGTAAGTGTTGTTTCTTTATTTTTATCTCCTTTTCTTTGATTAAATTTCATTTCGACTTTTTGCAATATTTTGCATTATTATTTACAAAAATTTCATATAAAATATAAATATAAATTATGATTGTATCAATATAATACGAAACATTTCCGCAGTGTGTTATAAACTTGGGATGCTTGGATTCACTAAACTTAAATAACTATACAAAATCATTTTTACAAAATAATTAAATGTTTGTTTTTTTAACTAAAATATATAAAAATACATATATAGATGAACTGTGCCAGTTTCAATGATTAATTATATATCCTTTTTTTATTTAAACAATTTCATACATGATATTATATTGACACAAGCCTACACTGTCTGGATGCGTATAAATAAGAGCTTTTAGATTATCGTAACTTGGAATTTTATATTTATTGATTATGTAAGGTCAATAGAATATGTGTCGCCATCTAACGAAGAACTTGCAAATTATATACGAAAACAAATTTCGATTTTTCTTTTTTAATGAGAATATTCTACTAAAAATTGATTTATTTACATTTTAGTTTATTGTATTGTATGTAATGTAAACAGAATAATATAAATAATTTATCATTTTATAATTTCTATTCTATATTTTATTACTAAACTTATTAATTTTTAATGTCAACGATAATCATCATATGGAAATAAAAATTAATTTTAATTCCATATGATAGATTAATTTTTATATTCAAAATTTGAGAATGTTTAGATTTACTTTATATCTGTTCTTATACATAAATATAAATTAACATATATTAAAATATGAAAGTTAGTAAAAATTATTCTAAAAATATCGCGAATAAAATAAATGAGAGAGAGAGAGAGAGAGAGAGAGAGAGAGAGAAATGTTCCATATTCTACAAGTAATAAAAAACTTTATTTCTATTGTATCGTTCAATATCGTTTTACGAGGGCTTTAATTATACGCGCGTTCAAATTTGACCGCAGAGTGGTAAACTTCCATGATTTATGTCTGCTACGATTAAACAGATCGAGGGATTTGGTACGAAGACCGGAAAACCAATGAAGTCGGTGATTGTGTTAAATTGCGGAGTCCTGTCGACGAAACGCCCATATGAAACACCATCCATGTTACAAATATGAACAAACTGCATTATCTTCACATAAAATTACGCGTAAAATCATAATATTAAAATTGTGTAAAAATATAATTTTTTCATAAATGTGTATTAATAATGCATATTTGTGTGAAAAACTCTGTGTATTAATAACTGTAACATTTCTGTGTATATATTAATAACCATAACTTCAACGTTCTTTAGTCAAAAATCTACGAGCGTGATTAAAAAATAAATAATAAATTCCATTTTATAAACAGATGTCAAATAAAATGTGCTACACAATTATAAAAAAAATCTATTCTTTTGAATACTATAATAATAAAAAAAAATCTTAATAGCTTTTACTAGAATTTAGTTTATTTCATAATTAATTTACTTAATATCAATCATTTAATTGCATTTTATACGTATTCCAAGCTTTATAAAAAAAAAAATCGATTCGCAAACGCAATAAAATTCTATATAGTCATTATGAATGCACCCGTCGCTCGTAATATAGAAATACCTGTGGATAATATTCATATTTGATATTACTTATTAATTAATTAGAATCCTAAATGGATAAAGTTGAATAAAAAGTTTAATATTAAAAGTTTGATTTAAAAGTAAGTATAGATGACGGCTTTCTAACACGCGCTGATGAGACTTTTTTTTCTCTAAATTTTCCTCCAGTTTTTAATCAAATATCTCTTATTATATGTATATACAAAAGTTTCTCGCGTGCAACGTTAAAATATCCATTTTATAACATGGTCACGTATTCTATAGAAAATATTAAAATAAATAAAATTGCGGAGACAAATACGCATTCAGTTGATCAACAAGCAAAAAACAAATAAACAAATATAAATTGAAACATAAATTAAATTGATAGTACATATACACGCAGATTGTAGCCGTTTTAAATACAGGTCATGTGTGCGATTTTGAAACTCGCGTTACAGTTTGATTATAATCTTGATTGATGAACAAACTAGAACATTCGTGGAAAAAAAACGAGTAAGTAAACCTCATTTTTGTTTTAACAAAATTTATGGTCAAGTTGACATAAGAAATTTAATAAGTTGTTTAAATTGTTTTTAAAAACTTTAAATATTTAATAAAAGAATATATTTTCTAATTCAGTAATGGAATCATACATTATTACTAATTTTCTTATATTGTACGTACGAAATGTTGTAAGCAATGTACAAAGAAACCCAGTAAAAAGTTTTTATGTATAAATGTACATAAAAACTTTTTATTGAATTTTTTTATATATATAAATATATGCATGGGATATAAATATAAACATATACAAACATATGTAATTATATATAAAATGTGTCTATATATATTTTTACATTCTTTTTTTGTAAAATTACTATTTAGTATAAGAAAAAAAAAAGAATAATAATAAAAAAATATATAAAATAATTAAAAAAGTAGTTTTTGTGTAGACAATTTAATCGCCCGCAGTACATTCTTTGGGTGGATACGTATTGAACAGAGATATCCTGATCAGATTTATGGCGCATAATCATTAGCGTCTGTTTCCTTGTTTCGCGACATAACGAGCGACGAGTATCAGAGTCGATACGGATCCGTATAGGCGCGGTAACATTATTATTTATTTCGACTCCGAGTTCTGCTGTGACTTACCATTCTGCGAGATTGTTCAAGATACAAGTGTGAAATATAACAATCGTTGCTACGTGAGAACTTTGTCTTCACTATTTCCCTTTACAAACTTTTCATTTGGCCATCCAAATTATTATAATCTCCTTTTGATTTTCCTACATTTGTATTGTTTCTTTTAGAAAAAATTAAGTTTGGAGAAATGTAAAAAAATTGTTCGTCTATAGTTACATATAATTATATATGAGCAATTCAATTTCTCATACTAAACTTTTACAAAAGAACGATAAATATATGTACATATATTTCATATATAATAATATATATTATTTATATATGTTTATTTAATATATTTATGTATATTCATACATGAAAAATTTTTTACCAAGGACGTGAGAGAAAATCGCATACTTTTAACCTAATTTTAAAAGAGATTAAAAAATGTGAATTTCGCTTCATCTCATTTGTTTCACGACTAACTGCGATGGAGTCGACATAGCAACAGACGGAAAGTTTTTCTTGTGGACTCATCTAAGCTTTTACGTTTCTCATTTTACGGTTGCATTATACACACAATATACTTGATCTTTTAGGATTCTGAAAGATTTGTCGGTTATTTCCAACCGCAAGCATATATCAACTGCAAGATATATTCAAGATATTCCTGATATTCATTGAAATGTCCCTCTGGTTCCTCAAATGTCCTACATTCCGCAAAATGATACATACTCACATTCACAACAACTTTCTTACCATGATAAAAAAACTGCGCAACGACGTTATAACGAAACTTGCAAGAGTTACAGAATAGCCCTGCTAGAATGTGTTGTATTATAAATTTGTTTATTATAATTTATTCATACTTATATACTTTTTTCTTAAAAACATTAAATTATTATATGATTTAATTTAATACCTAGAAACAATCATATTCAAATTTAACAGTGACATATATATACAAAATCATATCGCAGTTACGAAATACATTATTATTAACCTTTCCAACAATAAATATCCAGCAAACAAGCTGACGTTATTTATCGTCATTTCGATGTCTTGGACGTTAAAATGACGATAAATAATATCAGCTTGTTTGCTGGGTAATTTCTTTTTATATCTATTATGTTTTAGTTGCTGCAATAATAATTATTATAATATCGCAGTGATAATACTATTTATTATTACGTCGACATTCACTTGAATCGCCATTATTAAATTTGTGATTTGTATTACGGAAATTGTGACTGCGATCTTTGTGATATTACAATATAGTTGCCTTGATAATTAATCGCAACTCTCCGATCATAATGACAATTATTATTACATTAAAACAATAATTGATGCAAAGATCATCGTATCATGAAAATCTATTGAATGGCCATCACAGTAATTTCGACGAATTAATTATGGCAATTATCAATAGCGTTAATCACATTTATTTAAAATTTGAAAGAACTTATCTAATTGAATTATGATTTAAAAATAATATGGTTTTTGTGCTGTTAAACAATAAAATGAAGAAATTATAAAATGAGATATGACTCTAAACCAAAAATTGTAAAATATATTCATGATTTATCATTACACTATATATATTTAGTAACAGAATGGATCATATGATATCTACAAACCAATATATAAAATACATCTTTTTTAGAAAAATCGTATAAATTATTAATACATAAGGGGAATAAAGTAATGATATTCTTTTCTTTTAATGAAACTAAATTACTTTCTAGATTTAAATAAGAACACTTTAATAGGATTTCATAATAATGTAGAAAATATCATTTTAGGATAGACCGAGACAAATCAAATTAATATGTTTCAAGAAAGAAACACTATAAGTTTCAAGAAAGAGTTGTCATTAATTTTGTTACTTTTTTTGTTTCAAACAAGTTGTTTTATTATAGCTATTTCTGCGCATTTCCACTGCGTCGAAAACAATAATCAACAGTCATACAGTGTTAGTCAATGATACAAACACAAAAATCATGAGTGCACGATGAAATTTTATTTCTTACATAAAATTACGATTCCACTAAAAAATATTTTATAACTTGTAAAGAAAAAGTATGTTGAAATTACAAAAAGTATAATAATTTTTACAGTATATATTTTTGCTAAATCAGTGTAGTAAACTGGTAATCCACTTCGCCATTCAATTTTGGACAAATCGAATAATTCCATTTTCTTTCAATAAGAAATACCACGTTTATGTATTATTTTATTATATGAAACTCGAGCCAAAGTTGTAAAAATGAAAAACTTATAATAAAACTTAATAACAAAATTTGTTTTGGATTACTTTTTTACCAATGAACAAAAATTGTTCCGATTCGACTCGGCCTCTATCCTAATAGGTTTTAATAATTAATTATTTATCGATTTCTAGCCAAAAATATACTTATTATGCTTAGTCTGTTTTCGCATGTAGAAGATTCTTTTTATCGTTTCAATCATGATGCCATTTATTTCACTCGAAAGAAATACGTACTTTAGTCTTTCCGTCACCGATATGACCTACGGCCTCGCTACGTGACCAGAGCTTCGATGATAAACTTTCTCGTTAAGTAGAAAAAACTTCATAATGAATTTAAACGATCACTCATTATTAGGTATCACGTGATCGAAATGTTCAAACATATCATCGTCGCGTTCATAGCCGTGAATTGCACTTTCACCCAAGTTTTTCGTTCGCATTTACGCAGAGACGTATGTTGATTTCGTGTGTATCATTCCGATAGCTGAATATTTTCAACCGGTATAGCTAGTGCATCGTTATTAAAGTTTCAATTCTCGTGCCTGCTTAATGCGCATATTTTCTAACAAAGACATTTCTACGTGGATAAATGAGAAAATATCTTTACGTTAGATCGTTCTCGTTTTATGATCTTTTTTTATTTACCCGATTACGCGCGTGCTTCGATATTTAGATGCAAAAGACGCCGTTACCGAAGGAAAGAATTTTAATACGATATTTCTGTGCAAACTTCTGAGTCTATAGAAATCTCATAAGATTCTGATTTTGCAATTTTCAAGGACATCAAAATGTTCAATTCTTTTGAATAAATGCATTAATCTTTTCTTAAATAACTTCTCTATTAATAAATGGAAATCGAAAAATAAATATGCGAATGTATTAAAGGATTAATTTATAAATGTACATTTTGTAGGTTTAGTATTCTTTGTTTTCATATGCTATTATATGTATAACTGAGAAATTTATTTAAAAAATAGTAGGATTCTTTCTCTATTGTTTTGAGCTCTTTTAGAATATATCGAGCATTATTAATTAATATTTCTATCATTGTTATGATAATTACTTTTATAATATTGTTAAATATTTTAATAATATAGACATCATTAATATGAGATACAAGTCGTAATATCGTTATATAATTTTACACGCGGAATATACAATTTTATATTATATGTATAATACATAATATATTATACTTATACATAATTCATACGTTA